CATTGATAAAAAAACTACAGACTTATTGTTCTATGACAACATTCACTGTAATTCTCAAGTGTTTTTTTTCCCCGCTTCTTTCTCGGTATGATGAAAAACTTGCATGTTACAATATTTCTCCCTACCACTGTATTATTATGAGTGGGTGTAGTCACTACCATTTTTAGATATCCATAAGAAGCCATTAAAATCTTTTATACACCAAGGCCACACCCAAAGTACTTGACATTAGGTGTGTGCAAAACAGGCCATATTCGATTCAGATTCAGCCCAAACTGGGGACAGTGATTCAATTAGTTGATTTGGATCACTGTCCTGATTCAATTTGGCCGAATCCAAATCTGGAGATTTGATGCTGATTCGGAGAATCAGCGATTCGACCATAGACACAGCTTTAAATGTTTTTTCTACATACCTCGAGGTACCAGGCATGGCTTGTGAACGCTGCGATGGTAGGGCAGATGGAGTGTTCCACTGGAGCACAGGGGGTCCCCTGCATGCTCGGTGGTGGAAGTACTTCCGGTCGACTTCCGTGTCTGCCGCCGAGCATGCAGGGTATCCCCCGCCACTCCCACCCAGCTCAGCAATCGGCCACGGGAGGACCCTGGGTGCCTCCATAGACCCAGGAGGCACCAGTTGCTGAGCTGGGGGATGAGAGGGGTCCTTCGCGTGCTCTGCAGCAGATCCAGAAGTCGACCGAAAGTGCTTCTAGTCCACTTCTGGGTCCGCCACCAAGTGTGCTGGGGACCCCCCACACACACTCCCATGGGTCGCTCCATCCACCCCAGCATCTCAGCATTCACAGGCCACCTGGTACCTTGAGGTATGCAGAAAAAACATTTAAACCTGTGTCTATGTCTGAATCATCGAATCAATTCAAAGTGTTCCAATTTGATTTGGAGATATTCCAGGGTTTCCTGATTCGATTCAGATTCGGAGATTCAGTTGCTGAATTGATCCAAATCTCCACCGAATCGAATCAGCGACTGAAGCTTCATACAGCCCCACTTGACAGTCTCACAAAACAAAGGCACATGGTAAAGCACACTTTATTCTTCCTGTGTTCACATATAAAGGATTTATTAGTGTCAATTTCTCTTCCTAATGAAAACACCCCACAACGCCTACATTTTTGATGACACTTGGGGCAAAAAGGGGAGAGAATATACAGTACCATGTCAGATTAAATTGTAGAAGTGTTATCACCTACAGAAAGTATGTATTAAACCTGCATCACCTTAAAAGGGGTATGATATTTCATCTTCAGTGAAAGCAGGACAATACTGCATGTAACAATATACCTTACCGTCTAGGCACTTAGTGGTTATCCTAGAATAAACATACTGTACTTGAACAGTCAAATCGTGAAGCAAGTAATAAAAATGCAGTGGCAGAGCCAGATACAAGTTATCTCATTGAAAGTAATTACTTGAAAAAGGTGTAACGATACTGTAATTCTTTCTGAAGCTCTTCATCTAGTCTATTAGCAAAGAAGTCTTCTTTATCTACCACCAGCAGTTCAGTTTCTTCCATGCAGACAACCGTAGCAACTCTCCTTGTTCCCTTTAAAAGAGCAATCTCCTTTCATACAGAGAAGGAAGATGAACTGAGTTAGTATTAGCAATTGATCTTCCACTGTTACACTCCAAATGCCGACTTGGAAGATTTGAAGTCTATCTTATTTTGTATCCTGTCACCAACAGTAGCCAACACTAGACCTTCAGAAGAAGGTACAAGAAACCCTATAAAGGGCAGTTGAAAGATACCTTGTCTTCAGTGAAAATTTCTCCCTACTCCTCCATAATTTAAATATCATAGCCCAGAAACTTGAGGATTTATACACCTTCCAAAATGCTCAACTATTTATTTTGCCATTTAATAACTTTTCCTATGTCTCAACTGATGGGAGTTATACTAAAAACACCACTTACTCCAAATGCAGCACCCTTCCGAAGCAAAGTTGGATCTCCATCCAGAAAGGCACTGTTACCATCCTCATCCTCAGTAACAGCAACAGTACCAAAATAGATGAAGTAAAAAGTGTTTCCATAGTGCCCCTTCTTGATGATGACTCTTCTGCGTCCAAAGCTGGAAAACAGGAATGCAGCTTCTATTCCCTCCTAGCAGTAATGAGCCTGAACTAGAACCTCTTCTAATCAGACTCCCTATCCATTACTAATTATTGATCTCAGATCTCTCTGAAACGTGCTGAACTGCACTGAACTGAAGCACCAAATCAGGGTGCTCCCAGAAATGTGTGAAAGGTCAGTTTAAAACTTCAGAACACTATTTTCGATCCACAGAATGGTATTGACTGAAAAGTATTTTGCTTGAGCATAAACAATCAGGGATATACTTACTTGTCTTGGTCAAAGAGATTGCTCAAAAAGTTATTGGCATTTGCTTCTGAGACTTGCGTTTTGTTCTCATTTCCAGTTATTTACTTGGCAAGGACAGAAGGCAGCCTTGCAGAACTAGCAGCTTCAGAATCTAAGGAGTGTCTCAGCTTATTCAACAGTAATAACTGCCAGCAAAGTAGAGTCAAATTTAGTTCATATATGGTCCTGCTAGGCTGGGATATGTGACTGGGAGAGAGGAGATAATACTGAAGTGGGAAAAATGGAATGATTTCTAGAGCTGAGAGAGAAAAATACACCTCCATCTCCAGACCTTTAATAGAAACAAAAGGTCATGTGATCTTGTATTTCAGTCAAGCAATGAAATAAAGCCACCATAACACAGAAAAGTTTAAGATATTGGAAGAAAACTTAGTATCTTACAATGAAACAAGGATGATGGGTGAAGATGAAAAGTGAAAGATGCAGCACTGATATAGTGGTGGGGATTTCTTATAAGCCACCAAAGTCAGGAAGAGAAGGTAAATGAGGCACTCTTTAAGCAGGTGACAAATCTATCCAAAAGCTATGGGATGGTACTGATAGGAAACTTAAATTTTCCATACATCTGCTAGAAGAACAATGCAGCCACGGCCATCCCTAGGGGGGGACGAATTGGTGAGACTGCCCTGGGCCCCATGCTTTGGGGGCCCCACGGAGCCAAGTGGAGTGGCACAGCAACTCCGTGCCACCTCTGGCTTCACATCCGGCTGCTCAGCACGTGTCCCCCCCACTTCCCTTGCTGCCAAATCTGCTGCTGAATCCAAGGCATCCAGCCGCTTCCCACCCCCCTCCACTCCCACTGCCTAATCTGCTGCTGGCTTCCGCACGTCCAGGGGCAGGGTCCTGCACAGGCTGATTTGCCCCGGGCCCCGCACCCTGCTCGGATCATCTCTGAATGCAGCCAAACACAAAATGTCAAGCCATGTCCTAAATTGTGTGGAGGACAACTTCCTGTTCCAGAAGGTGGAGGATTACAACTAGGGTATCATCTAGGGAATCCTGTCCTAACCAAAAGGGAAGAACTGGTGGAGGGTGTTAAGGTGATGGGCAACTTGGGAGAAAGTGATCACAATATGATAGAATTCCAGATCCTGAGATAGGGAAAGCACGAGGTCAGCAAAATTAGGGCGTTAGATTTCAAAAAGGCAGATTTCATCCAACTCAAGGAGTTAATAAGCATAGTGCCATGGAAAGACAGACTGAAGGATAAAGGCAGGAGAGCTGGGAGCTTCTAATGGGCACAGTACTGGAAGCCCAACAAGAAACTGTCCCCACACAATAAAAGCACAAGAAGAACAGCAAGAGACCAATGTGGCTGTACAAGGAGCTTTTAGGATTTCACAAATGCAAAAGGAAAGCATACAGGCAATGGAAGAATGGGCAGATCACCAAGGAAGCATACGAGGAAATAGCAAGAACCTTCAGGGACACAATCAGGAAGGCAAAGATAAAAACTGAGCTGCACCTGGCAAAGGCGGTTAAGGACAAGAAGAAGAGGTTCTGTAGTATGTTGGCCAGAAAAGAAGGACTAAGGAAGCTGTGAGTCCTTTGTTAACAAGCCAGGGGGGACTCCTAACAGAAGAGGCTAAGAAGGTGGAGCTATTCAACAACTATGTTGCCTCAGTCTTCATAACAATATTAAGCTGAGGCCGGAAACCTAATAAGGGTTATCTGGATAAGGAAGGGAGCAAGCTGAGGGAGGAGATAACAAAAGAGATAGTCAAAGAGCTTTTGATAGCTCTGAATGAATTCGAGTCAGCAGGACTTGATGCCAGGGTACTGAAGGAACTGGCACAGGAGATCTTGGAACCCTTGGCAATGATCTTCATAAAGTCATGGGAGACAGTCCAGGTGCCAGAGGACTGGAAAAGGGCCAACATAGAGCCCTTCTTTTAAAAAAAGCAAAAAGGAGGAGCTGGGAAACTACAGACTGGTTAGCCTCACCTTAATATGAGGGAAGTTACCAGAGCATATCTTAAGGAAGGACATTTGCAAACATCTTAAGGAGGAAAGTCTGATCACAAACAGCCAGCATGGATCTATGAAAAAACAAATCATGTCAAACAAACTTGGTCTCCTTTGACAAAGTAACTACTTGGGTGGATGAAGGGAATGCTGTGGATATAATATATCTGGACTTCAGCAAGGCTTTTGACAAAGTCACCCACAACCTTCTCATAAACAAATTGGAGAAATGTGGGGTAGACAAAACTATTGTAAGGTGGATAGGTAACTGGCTCAATAGCTGCAAACAAAAGGTAATTATTAACAGGTCCATGTCAGAATTGCAGGAGCTTTTGACCAGGGGTCTGTCCTGGGCCCAGTGCTGTCAAGGTGTTTATTAATGGTTTGGATGTTGGCAGATAAAGCTTCTTGAGCAAGTTTGCAGATGACATGAAACTGGGAAGGATTGTGAACACATTGGAGGATGTGAGTGCAATTCAGAAGGATCTCAACAGATTGGACAGCTGGGCTAGAGCTAACAGGATGATGTTCAATATGGACAAATGCAAGGTGTTACACCTTGGGAAGAATAATCAAAAAAGCAAATGAAAAAATGAGTGACACCTAGTTACACAGCAGCACTACGGAAAAGGAGTCTTGGCAGAACACAGACTCAATCTAAGTCTGCAGTGTGATGCAGCTGCACAAATAGAAAATGTGGTTTTGGAATGCATCAATAGAAGCATTAGGTGCAAGACATGGGAGGTGAGAGTGCCTTTCTACTTGGCACTGGTTAGGTCTCATTTGAAGTAGTGTGTGCAGTTCTAGGCTACACATTTTTTAAAAGATGTGGAGAAACTAGAGAGGGTCCAGAGGTGGGCAACAGAGATGATAAAGGGCTTAGAAAGCAAATCACATGAGAAGAGGCTGAAACAGTTAGGTATGTTCAGCTTATGAAAAAGGTGCTTAAGAGGGGACATGATAGCAGTCTTTAAATACCTGAAAGGCTGCCATAAAGAAAAGGGAAATCACCTTTTCTTTCCTGCTGCAGAGAGGAGGAAATGGATCAATGGCTTGAAGTTGCAGCAAAGTAAGTTTAGATTGGATATCAGGAAACACTTCTTCACAGTTAGAACAGTAAGGCAGTGGAATAAACTACCTAGGGAAGTTGTGGACTCTCCGTCACTGGAGGTGGTCTAGAAGAGGTTACATTGGGGATGATCCAGGCATTATTATACTTGTGTTCTACTATGGGTATTTCCCATGCTTCTAGGCTTTGCTGGTTGCCCCTGCCCATTCTTTCTGCTACCTGTGTCAGGGTATTTTTTAAGTCTCCCTCAAAGGCTTTGGGTGTTGACTACGGCCAAGGCTGGGGATTTTGACTGAGGTATGCCAGTGCTAATGCTGGGACCAAAGCCAGAGGTTCCTGTCTGGATGATCTTGCCCTTCTGCTTAGGGTCCTGTACAGTGTTGGGTCCTGTATTTCAAGAAAGATTTGGCCTATTGGAAAGAGTTCAGAGTAAAGCAACAACAATTAGAAGTTTAGAAAACATGATGTCAGGTGGTAGGTTGGAAGAACTGGATTTATTTAGTTTGGAGAAGATAAGATTTTTCTTCTTTTAAACAGCCTTCCTATATATAAAAAAAGATTCTTATAAAGAGATTGTTATAATGATCAACTATTCTTCAGGTCTACAGGGAATAGGACAAGTAATTCTGGGCTTTAATTTCAACACAGGACATGTAGGTTAGAATTTTCTAACCATGAGTGGGGTTAAGTAGGGGAACAGATTACCCTAGAATGGGTTGGCAATGTTTTGCTGCTCTGCTGCAGGACACAAATCTCTGCTCCTTAGAGAGCTGCCTGCACCTTCCCCTCACTGCAGATACTTGGCACTTCTTCAGCAAGAGTAACTGTAGGCAGGAGATAGTAAGGGTGCGCTTTGGAGGAAAGTGCTGTTATGAGGAACGATGACTCAGCACAACTCTGTACCACCTAATTCCTCATGCCACCACAGACCAGCTCGGACTTTCCTGGATCTAAACTCTTTGTGAGCTAGATTCAGCCCAGAAGCCATAGGTTGCCAGCCCCTGACCTAGAAAGTTTGTGGAATCTCCATCATTATATGCTTTTAAGTTAAGTTGAAGAAATAATGGGATAGTTTAGAGAGGGATGTTCCAGCCTTGAGCAGAAGATTGAACTAAATGAACTGCTGATGTCCGTTCCAGAACTATTTTTCTATGGTTCTATAACTACATTTATACCCAATGTAAACTCCTAATATGATTTTTTAGTTGAGATTTCAAGTCTCCAAGGAGACTTTGATACCTAATTCTTATTAATTTTAATGGAAATTGAATATCTAAATCCTTTAGTCTGTTTGAAAAATGTCAAGCTTTGGGATGGCTCTAGGCTTTAAGAGGCATAACAGTATGTCATTATACATACAGAACAAATTAGATGACTGCATGTTCTTGCTGTCATTTATTGTACTCATTTACAGTCATTAGATGTCTAATAGATTGAAAATAAATGGAGAGATAACAATGTAGTTTTTTTTCTAAATTTAGGCTAAGATTCATATAATTTTTAATTTTGGACTATTGAGTTTTAAAAGCCAGCTTTAAACATTATTACCCATCCTTGAAAGAATATTTACCTTTCAAAGCGAATCACCTTAGCCAGAAGATGCTGTAGATTTGGGCTATAATTTCGGTAGCTTTCTAGCAACTGCAAGCAGTTTTGTAACAGCTTAATTTCCTTCTCAGTCCTCCATTCTGGTTTCTTCTTGGTTATCTGGATTGCTCTGAGAGGAAGGTGATCCTGAGAAAGCATCCAACACATTAACTAATGGAGCCTCAAATGAAACAAAGCCAAAAAGGAAACATCTGCATGCTCCAGAAGACTAATCAGCATCATCTTCCAGAGATGTAAGGGAAATAATTCCAAATAGGTTTTTTTTCCCTCTTTCATTTTAGCTTCAAGGAAAGGAATTTGTGCAAAATGGTTAAAACTTAAGTTTGTTTGATAATGCTCACATTAGTTCGTTTTTTAAAACAATTCTGAAATAAAACATTGGTTGCTCAGTTGTATGCCAGTGGATCTATTATTAGGCAAGTTTGCTGCTAATAAGATGAGTCATTACTGCTCAGGTTTTCAATGTCAAAATGGCTCAAAAGCTTCTTTTTTAAAAAGTAAAGTAAAATTAAGTTAAAAAAAAGAAAGCTTTCTTAAAAATGTCAAAAGCATTTAGTGTTACTTATGCCCAGTGAAGAAGGCCTACCTTTTCCATAATGGAGTCTCTAATACTTCAATTGCTTATTCCCATGACTCCAGCTCCCCCTAAATATGCACCGTAGAGTCTGCAGACTCCATGCTTAATACTGTTACTGTTGTAATCTCTAGGTTCATACAGCCTGAGAACACTGCAGGCCAAGTTTTCAGAAAGGGCCTGACACCAGCCTAATGATGAAAAGCAGAGTTCCACACATCATTCCTGAAACAGTGAAAGAACAGCATGTGGAGCAAGCCAGAGCAAGGAACTTGCAAAGCTGGCATCCTCCTTGGTAGCATGCACTAGATTAAGCTATTTCTTCAGTGCTATGCAAGAGAAGGCCTGCAACACAATGTCAAGACTTGTCTACAGCTTGTACAGGGCCCACAGTGAGGAAGCTAAAATCCTTTGCTTTCCTTTCACAGTGCTCTGCAAAGAATCCAATTTCTCTGAGGTTTTTTCAGTACTTGGGACTTGGCCATCCATGGTCAGAAACAAGTTATCAGCACCAGTGTTTGCATTAATGGAACCATCCTCCTTTTTCCATGTAGGTGCTTTAGGCCAAACAAAAAAAGTCTGTGTATATGAAATCTTCTTGGAAGAAAATATATGATTAAAAAGTTTGTGCTTCTGTCACATGTCTTAATTTATAGATTAAACAGAGGAAAAGGAAAATGCTCTCATGTGAAATAAGTGACAAAGCAAGGGATCTGGAATGAGTTACACAGTGGTTTTGTTGGAAAACCCAGTTCCAACTCCTGCCTTGGAGATGGCCTTAAAACATTTTAAGGACTGGCACAGTAGATGGAAAGAGACTTGGCTCAAAGCAAAAAAGAAGGGCAATCAGACCTTTCTGATCTTGAACTCATTGTAGTTGAAGGACAGTTTGGTACACTTCTCGCCCTGAATAAAAAAAAAAGGAGAGAGGAAAGAAAAGACAAAAAAAGAATTGGTTGAATTAGAAATGTCATTGAGTTAGCAGATAGGGACATTGCAACATGGCATTTTTTAACAATAGTGTTAATTTTTTTCGGTTCTTTAAAACACACACACGCATACACACCCACATACACTAGAGAGGACTTCAAATAAAAGTCTTAATTCACTTCAGTGAGAAATAAACACACTATTCATGTTATAAAAATATGTTAGCTAGTACAAGACCAAAGATTCTGCTGGGCTACAGGGACCTCCAACTCCATTTGGGAATAGCTGTGAACTGAGCATTGGTAAGTCATTACATTTAAGGTAACTGCTTATAGCACCTAGGTAACAGGCACACTTAAATGCGTGCACAAAGCCAACTAATAATTGATACTGCTATAATGAAGGAGAGGCCTGCTTTATGTAAAAAAAATTCCTTACTTCCACACCAAAGGTCTGGCATGCTTCAGTAGTCACGTAAATGAACTGAAATTCTTTGAATCTTCTCAGTCCCTGCCAAAAGATTTTGCACACCCTGCTCTTGATCATGATGTCCAACGTAACCTTGTACAAACTCTTAAAAGGACAAGCACGGGAAATAATGAAGTCTAATGTAAGTATTCTAATATTATAAAAGCCTAAGTCTGTCTGTCTGTAACGCTTTATTCGCAAACGGCCAATCAGAGTGTGAACAAGTGTTCGAATAGGGGCTGGCGGCGGTGGAGCACTGCCATGATGGTCTGGACACAGGGGATGGAGGGGGAGTGGCAAGACCATGGGAGCTGGCCTCGCCTCCCCCCCTTACTCCTTATAGGTGGCGGCAGTGCGGGGGGGAGCAACCACTTCTCCCCCCACCACCTCCCCGTCAGTGGGCCTGCTCCTCCTGTTCCCCGCCCCTGCCGCTGGGCTGGCCCAGGCCCACTGCTTCCCCCATCGCAGTGGGCTGGCTTCTCCCCACCCTTGGGCCCCCGCCTCCTGTGCATCGGGCCCAGATCCACTCCTCCCCTCCCCTCCCCCCGGCACTGTGGCATGGAGGCAGGGAGCAGGCCTGGACCCCAAGCAGCAAGGGGTAAAGGGGGAGTGGGTCCGGACAGTGGGGGAGGGGCACAGGGATCCGTCCCATGCTCCCCACCCGTTATTCCTGATGGGCAATTGGCTAGTAATCATTTATATTTATAATGACTGACAGCAGAATCTTATGGATGATACACCAGCTTGAGAGTTTGGACATCTAGAGTCTATTCCTCGGTTTTGCCATTCATCGACTTTGAGACTTTGGACAAGTCACCTTCCTTCTCTAGGCCTGTTTCCCTCCCCTACCTTTGTCTGTCATAGCTTTTTAGATGGTAAGTAACATAGAACAGACTTTCTCATGGTGTATACAGTACAATGTGGCCCTGATCTCCATAGGAGCCACTAAATATTGAACTCATTAAGCTTTAATTTAAGAACATAACAGACATTCCAGCTCATTAATATTTTAGTGATATGAATAACTGTACAATTGCTGCTGATCTGCAAGATAAAGAACCCACAGGTGCCTTTGGAAGCACAAAGACCAGAAAGTTTTTATGGTCCACTATTGACAGATTTTTACTCAGGCACCTCAAAGTACCTCAAACATAATTAATTATTATGCAATCACAATGTTACTATGAGATTGTTTTTCTTCAAGCTATGTCATTCTTGATCAGAAAAAGGTTCCGGGAAAAGAAGATGGTTAAATGGCTTATTGTAACGTGTTGCTTGGCATTGCTAGGGAATGACAATTATGTTCTATTAGCAATCAGTAAGACTCAGGGATGAATGTCAAGATGCCATTACTATATAAGCAGGTTATAAACCTTAGAGTAGGGCAAAATCATGCTCTGCTTATGTTACTACTATTATATCAAACAAAAGGGGAAGTGCAAGTGTTAAACATCTTAAGTTGCTGGTTGAATAGGGATCTGGAGAACTCTGCATTTTTAGAGTATTAACCAATCACCTCACCTTACTGAAACAAAGCACGCTACGGCATCTTTACGGAAAACAGAAAAAGGTCATTCCAGGAGAAAAAAAGATACATTAGTCCACAGGCTGAATGGTTGCCTCAACCCACATGCACTTTTACACTAGATCAGTGATTCTCAACCTTTTTAGACTTGAGAAATCCTTTGGAAAATATCAGCTCCTAGCTTTCACTCATTTTTTGACCACACAAAAACAATAGAGCAATTCTTCTGGCGCAAAGAATTCAGAAAGACCACAGCAGGTCAGCATGTTTTTAGCATTATGGATTTCCATTTGAAATCTTTGGGTTTATCTTGTGGGTCATGTTTGCACATGTAACTGTACTAACATTGCTTGGCACTGTGGCACTCTTGAAAGGATCTCAAGGCACCCCAGGGTGCCACGGCACATCAGTTCAGAGTCACTTCATTAGACATAAGAAACATTTGAAAGAACTATCGCAAACTTTGCTAAACAAACTAAACTGTAAAATATTAAATGCAAAATGTACATAGATTCCAATCCAGTTAATCAAAAACAAACTTTGATTCCTGGTTTTTCAAGTATCAAATAAAAAATAACAAATCAATTTTCTTCCTTTCCTAGCTGCTCTAAAAGTGATTTTATTAGAAAACATATCTACCAGGACCCTATAAACCTAATCATATATGTTTCTTGTCCCCCATTCCTCTTATTTTTATTTTATAAAGTACACATTAAAAGCAGGTATGGGCATAGGACAAATGTTCTGAGAGTTTGTCTTTAAATAAAACCTAAAACCTGAGCTTGGACGGTATATGGCACTCCTCCATAGGCTAAGTGTAGGGGGAGCATGGGCAAGGGGCACATGTGCCCCCCTGAGATTAGCCCTCACTGGCTGGGGAGTGGGGGCTTTGAGAGAAGCACCGGCTGGTGCCCCCCTGAGATTGGCGCTGGCCAGGGACCCCAGGAGCTGAGAGAAGTGCCGGCAGCACTTCCAGTTGTGCTGCTGGTTCTTCCTGGATTGGTGATCAGCTGCTGGGGGACCCCCCCTCCCACCCACTCAGTCAGTGATCAGTCACCGGTGCCCTCTCAGACTGAGAAGGCACAAGTCACCCATGCACTCCTCCCCCTTTCAGGGCTTAAAACTTCCTTCAGTTATTGCACATTATGACAGATCTTTCTGCAGGGGGCAGGTTATCCCAAAGTTTCTAACCACAGTGGGCATCTATACACGTGCTCCCGGGTGAAGGGGCGCCTTAATTAAAGAGGCTCTGAAAGCTGCTCTAATTAAAGCGCCTGCAGTGTCACATGTATTCAGCATCCTCCACTTCAAAATGGTGGTGGCAGGCTCACAGCAGACTCAATTAATTAAGTCTGCTTCAACATGTGTCAGTGCAGAGCTCCGTCTCGTGTATAGGTGCCCAGGATTTTTTGTTTCTGGCACAGGTCACTCTTGGTGATTCAGCACTAGATTAGCCAGATGACTCTGATCCAGCTGATTAATTCCTACATTCCTAACTCTGTCAGCCCCTTCACCTTACCATAGGAGCTCTCAAAGCTATGCTAGAGTACCTAAATCTGCTTTGCATTGGGACGGCTTAGGATAAGGCCCTAATATGTCAAAATCCATTACTTTTTTTACTGCTACGGTTTATCCTCCAAAGGGGTTCTGGAAAAACACATCATAACTGAATTATTTAAAGCTAATATACTACTTCAGAAAAGCACTAAATCAACTATCTTATTCAAGAGGAGTTGTTTAACAGGTGATAAAAGTTGGTAAACACTGAGGTATCAGCACAGAAAAGATCATACCTTAAAAGTTCTCTGCTGGTCAAATGAGGTGGCTAACTTCTGATCTAGAAATCAATAATACAGCTTGTTTTAAACACTATTTTTAACACTCATTAATAAGACATACTACTCATGCCGGATAAAAGTTCATTCTTTCTGATCAGGTAATCCAATTTAGTCTGGGTTTATGAAGGCTTTCTGACAACAGGACAGGTGGGTGACATTTCTTAGCCAAATGCCAAACAAGAGCAGTCTATACTCAGCTGCAATCCCAGTAATAGCACGTCCAATCACTAACTGGCAAGGAAGCTAACTTTTCTGGGAGACCAGCTGGCTTGTTATCTGTTATATGGGGGCAGAGAACCTTATTTTATCAGTAGGGAGGGGAGCAGGTTGTTAGCTAGTAATCACTGAAGCATAGCCAAGAGGTGGCAAGGTAAAGAAGATGTTCTCATTACCATGGAAAGAGTAGTTTCTGAATCTAGATCTCTTGAGTATACAGGTTTACTCTGTTGTAGACCTGGGTCAGAAAAGAAAGGCAAAGAGAAGGAAAAGAACTGCCTGACTTTAGATCAAAACTGCCTCCTCCCACCATCACCATAAAAGCAGTTTAGCTGTTGTGAGCACTGTAAGATAAAGTCGAGACCAGGAACTGACAGGTGCTAAGCAACTGCTCCTATGGCAAGGGCAATTCCAAAAACAGAAAGTGGAAAGCAACTAAAACTGTGGAGTCTGAAGTTGGTGGATTTGGATGGGGGGCACTATTAAGTGAGCAGACTGAAGGAGGCCTAGGAGTATCAATGGAGATTATACATTTAGAGTAGAGGGCCATGGTGGAGGCCTATAAAAGGAACTATAGAGTAATGAGGGATATTAAGCCTAGGAAAATAGCTATAGCCTCTTGGTAAGACTAAAGGGAGGCTTCAAAGCAAAAGTTTCTCCCCCGCACATTAAGAGAAGCATGAATCTAGAGAAGGGCCATTATTTGACCCCGGTACCAACCGAACCAGGAACAATGTTGCTGGTTTCTGGGAAGCATACGCCATTTCATCTGGTACATGGTTATGGCTCCCTGTACTGACCTTCCCCAGTCTCCAACAGCCACAGATTCCACAGGTCTTTGTGACAAGTTCAGAATCCAGCTGCAGAACCCCATGGACATCCCTGTATTGCAGCTCTCAGCAACATACGTACCCCTTTGGGAAACTCACTTCCAAGAACTTATTCCCTCTGGAAACTCTTCTGTGAAAAGCCACCAAGGAGATACCCCAAGTTTTTTCAGAGAGACTCAGTCTCCCATCATAGCTAGCATGTCCCTATGTCATTGACTCTACCATTGTCAAGAACTGCATCTTCCCGCTCTTGCCTTGAATCAGTCCATGCCCTTCTATCTTGGGCAGCAATTCTCAACCAGGGTGCCGCAGTACCCCAGGGTGCTTTGAGATCCGTTTAGGGGTGATACACAATATTTGCAGTTAGACATGCAAACACCTACACTCATGTCAAAAGATAAACCCAGAGATTTCAAATAGGAATCCATAGTGTCAAAAGCCTTCTGACCTCCTGTGTTCTTTGAGTTCCTTGCAACAGAAGAGCGAACACTTAAGAGGTGGCATTTCCTGAAGGATGCCTTGAGTTTAAAAATGTTGAGAAACACTAGTCTTGGCGATGTCCCTTTTGTGCATCCCCTCCTTCCTGTAAAATAATTTAGGAAAACACAGCACAAGGCAGCATTATCTTTTCCACTGAGCCCTCTCAGCCTTGTCCCTTCTGTAGTGTCATCTAGGGGGTATTTTTTGGCAAGTGCAGCCCCAAAGGAGCCACACAGGCAGCAATGAAATAGGCCGTAATGAGCAAATTGCTCAGAGAGATGAGCAACTTCCACAGCGATGTAAATCCTACAGGCTTAAATAGGGTTTAGGACCTACTTTGTGTCAAACTTAATTGCCTGATACAACAATGCGAAAGAATCTCTTCTTTGTAGAAATTTTCAAAAACATCCAGTCCTACCAATGGACTTTTCTTTTTTTTTACAGGATACAGCAAACTTGGGTGCTCTCAATCCAGCTTCAAACATCAAGCTGATTGTTACAGAGAAGTCCTTACATAGGCATGTACAGTAACATGCATACTTACAG